TTTATTTCAAATATCTGAAATGGATTGGTGCTACCAATTCAATCTCATCCACCACTTTTTAGAAATCTGGAAGGTCATAACTAGAGAAAGTGAACAGAATAGTTAACAAGAATGTCAACTTGTATAATGAAGATAAGTGGAGAGAGAAATAAGGTAACTCCAGAAATCATTAAAAGATGGGAGTTTGAGGGAGCAATGATGATGTGGGTGTTGCACGTGTCTTCCTACAGACAGGATAATAATTACTCTGGCAACGGCAGATTTGTCCCTCTGCTGGGAAACAAGATGAAAAGACTGGAAGCCAAGTTTTCTTCTTTGGGACTCATTAGGGATGGTGAAAAATGAAAAGCTTTCTCATAGAGATGTTTCTATAAAAACAAGCAGAAAGAGTTCTTCAAAGAGAACCAGACACAGGAAGTTATCTAGAAGGAAAGGAAGAGGACTCCAAGCTACAAGAAGACATCTCAATAAGAATGGTAAGTACCTGGAGATAAGTGGCAAGAAAATGTGAATCAGGAGAAGATCCATGGTTTTTAAAAGTTGTTTTTATTGAACTATGATTAACAAACACTATCAAATCACTAAATTGACATAATGACTGACACCCTGCCACTTGAAGTGACCAACCAATTTCAGGCTCTGGACAAGGAGAATTCCTTGAGATAGTTCTATTATCCCGGTTTCTCCAAACAATTGGAAAGGACTCTCAATTCCATGGGGGGTCAATGAAACTAAAGGACTTTACTGAGGACAAAAAGGGGTATGGTGGCAAAGACAAATGTAGTTTGAACCAACAATTACAAGCAGTCCATATCAGGCAAATGATATTGCTAGAAAAGGGCACTTCAATGGATTGTAAATTACTACAAAGCCAAGAATAGGATCAATGGCCAAGAAAAAGATGTAAACAATTGGCTAAAACAACGTCATTCCGACAGATTGGGATTCTCAAATCTACATTTTCTGTAATAAAAAACTCTTGAGAACAAGAGGCTACCCCTGGCAAAGACAGCAAATAATCCTTATTGGGAGAGCTTTAAACAAAGCTTGAACGGAAACAGAGGCACAAAACTGTATAGATACTGGGAGTTAAGAATATGGTTGTGTATGAGACTAGAGAAAGTATGAGAAAAGAAAAGAATATTTGGAAAGCTCCAATTCACAGCAAATATGGGAACAAGCATGACCTTACACTCCCTTCTAGAGTTTGAACAAAAGAGGAACTAGAACTCCTAACATGGGAAAATAAATATTATCTGATAATAACTATGGAAACCTGTGGCATAGTAGTTATATTTTAAATATTTAAAATAAATATATCCAATGAAAACAAAGGCATAGCACTTTATGCAGCGGTGGGATTCTACCAGTTCAGACCTATTCAGGTGAACCTGTAGTTCCGGTGAGTATTTGGCTCCGCCCACTCATCCCTGCTCTTTCCTGTGCTTTATTTCCTGGTTTTTTAGCACAGCCAATTTGCCACGCCTCAGCTGTTTTAGTCCTAGGGGCTGCAGTAGAAGGTAAGTAACTAAGTTGAAAATTGGCTTTTTTAAATGTAGAGCACATGCGCAAAGCATGCACTCACAAAACCGGTTTTTACGCCAGTTGAATTGCACCACTGACTTTATGCATTATAAAATAATAATAATCTTAAACAGGGAGTTCTGTTAAAAGCATCTGGGAAAGATTAAAGAAACCCCAACTAATATCATTATAGGAGCTTCATACAATCTACTAAACCAGAAAATGTGAAGGGTGCTGTTCTAAGCCAGTTCATCAAGTTCTCAAGAGGGCAAGTTACAATAATACGAGATTTCAATTTTTCTGAACATTTTTCAGAATTCCTCATGTAGGTGTGAGCTGCTGTCTTGCTGATAATTTCATTTTTCTGGTAATAAAACAACAAGTGGGGGGTCAGTTTTTCTGGTTCTTATCCTGATCAACCCAGAAAAATTGGTTGGTAGATTGAAGATAGAAGGCATTTTAAATGAAAGCAGCCATGTCACACTGGAATTCAAGACAACCAAGAGGCAAATCAGTCATGCTGATTGGGAGCTGCCCAGAACTTGGTATAATTTTGGGTGCCTATATGAATGTATTAAATAAATAAATAATAGATAGATAGATAAATAAATAAAATGTTTATTTAGACAGGCAGGTTTTAATCAATTGAGCAAGTACAGGAGGGAGGGAGGAAATTTTAAAAATTCTATGAGTAAACAGCAAACACTGATAACTTGTGAAGCAAAAAGATGAATAAAAATGGAAAAAATGGCTAATAACTAAATATGATTACAGACTGATAGTTTCAATCTGCAGGGAGGGAGTTAGAAAAGCTAAATCTCAAAACATCATGAGATTGGCAAGGAATGCAAAATATAATGAAAGGGGATTTTGGTGTTATCTGCAAAATGAAAAAAGCATCAAGAAGATTATTGCTTTCCTGTGCAGGAAAGGTGGGTAAGTAATCATGGGAAATGAGGAAAAGATGGAGCAGCTTAACACTTTGAAATTTGTCTTCTTTCAAAAGAGGAAGGGAAGCTTTTCAAACAGGATTAAAGAAAGGGTGGAACACAGGCAGCTCAAGACTAATAAAGGTATAATAAGTAATAAAGGCAGTAACTACCCTAAATGAATTCAAGCCTCAAGGTCAGATAAATTAACATCCCAGGGTGTTGAAGGAGCTGGCAGAAGTCATTTCAGACATAAAAAAACTCCTGGAGAATTGGCGAAGTGTGAAAAGGGTGATATAAAAAAACCAGCATAGCCCTAAAGTTCAAAAAAGAGGTTCTGTGAAATTTCAATTTTGTTTTAAGTCTAAAAGTACCAGATTAGTTAAGCAGTGGTATGTCTGCTTTACAAAAAAATACCACAATAACTATAGCAAACACTGGTTCTTTTTTTTAACATCACAATGACTAGGTCAGTAAATGTGTGAGAGAAAATAAAATCAATAATTTAAGTTGTTGTTACACAAGAGCAATAAAGCAGGGAATAAAATCTAACCATTGTACAAATGTATTCATTTAACTGAGGGTTATATTTATTTCCCTCATATCATCTTAACAACAGCACTCTCTGGAAAGCTTATAAAATAAAAATAAAATAGTTTTTAAATGAACTTTAGAATTATTAAAAGGTTTAAGTGAACTTAATGTTGAATGGCCTTGGAGATACCATGGAGAGAGGATTTCCTCTCTGTGTCAGCTTTGGAAACCTTATTCAACACTGCCAGATAGCTTGAGAAAGTGAGAGGGGGGTGATTTTAATTGAGTAGCTCTTAGTTCAAGGTCATAGAGTGTGGTGCAGAAACAAAAAGGAACGTACTTTGGGATTGGTTCATGTGATGTGATGATGAGGGGGAAAGGGGATAGTATGTAGTTTGGGACATTGTGGGACGTCTGGGGAACTTTTAGTTTTGAGATTCCACAGATGTGCCAGGTGCTATCCTAATAAAGGTACTTTTGAGATGACGTCTGTCTCGGAGTTATTGATTGGAATGGAGGTTTGCTGGAACGCTGACATTATCTTGAAACTCTGACTGCCACTCCCTTCGCAATGACAGAATGGTGTGGGACTAAGACACCCAAATGGGATGCATCACTTTGACATCAAAGCAGGAATCACCATGTTCTTCTAAATTCTGCAGATAAGAAATATGCACAGGGCAGAGCAGACTGAGTTACAGTCCTTCTCTCAGGCAGAGAGAAAGGGTGGATGGTGGATGGACAGACATGCTGATAAATAGAGTCTAGGCTGCCCTACCTCCTCTTATATCGACTCTTCCTTTTGATTCTCATAGTGTATCAATGGCAGGGAGATAAAATAATGTGTAACTACTGTATTCTTTCTACTTACAAATTGAAAGGATCTGATCCAGAGTACCATTACAGGAATCCCCCATTCCCCCATTTGGAAACATGGAAAGCAAGCTTGATAAATGAAGAAACTTTTAATGGTAAATCAGCTAACAAAGCACATAAGAGTTCACATATATTTACATATATTAACTGTCCCTAAATCTATCCTGTAAGGAAGCATAAATCAAAAGTGTGGGGCATTAAGTTCCTCACAGCAAACTGCTGCTTTCTCAGTAGTAAATAACTTAATCGCACAAGATTGTATGGTTTTAGACTAATGAATGGTTATAATCCTATCAAAAGTATTAAATTCTAGTAACATAGTTATTGCATTCTGAGGCAATGAAATATTTGCTTCGAAAAATGTTTAAAGGAATATCTTACATAATTCATGTCTTCTACAATTCCTGAATGGACCAGGCTAGCGTACAGCGTATAAAACAAAGTAAGTCACTCACTCACTCACTCTTTTGCCTCTATCTGTTCCTCTATTCCTATTAAAATTGCAACACATCAACATCACTGCATCTCACCAAAGTTATTTATTATTTCAACCCATATGTCCCTCTATTTCAAGACCCTGTGTATACCTTCAAGACCCAATGTATATGTTTATTCCACTGTATTATATATATGGTATGACTGGATTCACACAGCATGTTAAAATTTAATGAATAAATCATAATTGGCTGATTTTGTATAACATAGTAGGCTATAAACAGTTATTTACAAACCATATTGATTCAGTTCACGCAGTGTGCTACGTTGCATGTTTTCTTTTTGCAAGTTCTAGGTTGAACATGGTGGAAGACTTTACAATGTCCCCAAGAGGCTGCATGTAGAACAAAAGCATCTGGACAAGATGATGGGTTTTCAAAATTCAGATGAAATGTCTTAAAAGAGCAGGTTTATAATTAGAGAGTCCACCTGCATCCACTATGGGTGCTGTAGAACCATATAACACCTATGACAAAGAGGAGCTGGAATAATTTTATCTACTCAGCCAACAAACTAGTTGGGTTTTTATCTGTAGGAGAATTCTAGCATCAATGACACATGCCCTGGTAATCTCAAAGTTGGACTACTACAAGGTTCTTGAAATAATGAATGATCCTTCAAGCCTGCTCAGAAATTAGGGTCGACACAGAATGTAATATGAGGAATAATGAGCAGCATCTCTCAAAAGTGCCATAGCACTTTAGTGTTGAAGCAGTTACATTATTTGCCTGTTATTTTTCCAAACCCAACTCAAGATGACACTTAAGTGTTCATAGAGGCGAGTCAATGTGATCAATTGGTTGAAGCAGAATATAATTTAATAAATAAACAAAGTTCTACAGGAAACGGTATTTACCTACACCTGTAAAAGCCATCATATTTTTATTTATTTATTTTGTCAAGCGATTATAAGATAACAGGTATAAGTATAAACATAGTTATGAATACATGAAATGGATACATATAAGAAAAATAAAAAGAAGCAATATGCACACCCCCTACAGACCTCTTAGGAAAGGGGTGAGGTCAATAGTAGACAGTCTAAGGTTAAAGTTTTGGGGGTTTGGGGAAGAAAGCACAGAGTCAGGTAGAGTATCCCAGACATTGACCACTCTGTTGCTGAAGTTGTATTTCCTGCAATCAAGTTTGGTGCGGTTTACCTTGAATTTTTATCTACTCTGTGCTCTTGCATTGTTATGGTTGAAGCTGAAGTATTCATTGACAGGTAGGACATTGCAATGTATAATTTTATGTGCTATACTTAGATCAGACCGAAGGCGTCGTAGTTCTAGGTTGTCTAGATCTAAAATTTCAAGTCTGGTGGCATAATGTATTCTGCAGTGATTAGAGTGGAGAATTCTTCTTGTGAAATATTTCTGGACTTTCTCCACTGTATTAATATCAGATACGTAATGTGGGTTCCAGACTGATGAGCTGTATTCGAGTATTGGTCTAGCAAATGTTTTGTATGCTCTAGTTAGGAGTGTGATATTACCAGAGAAACAGCTATGTAAAAAGCTATGTTAACAACTCTTAATGCCTTTTTGGCTATGTAGTTACAGTGGGGTCTAGCACTTAGATCATTAGAGATGAGTACTCCAAGATCCATGACAGAGTTTGGACTATCAACAAGGTCTTGAGTATCCAGCCTGTGTTTTATTTTCTGATTTTTTTTGCCAATATGTAAGACAGAACATTTATTTGTTAAGATTTGAAGTTGCCATTTGTTTGACCATTCTGATACATAGTCGAGGTCTTTTTAAAGGGTAGCAGTATTGTCGGTGGTGTTGAATAGCTTTACATCATCAGCAAAAAGAATGCAGTTGCTCTTAATATGATCACAGAGGTCATTTATGTAGAGTATTATTATTAAGTATTATCTTAACCTTTCAACTGGGCACCTTTTGCACAACCTGCTATGGATGTAACCAACATTGAGAGTAACTTCTGCTTTTTCCATCATGGAACAAAATGCCATTGGATCAAGATATTGTATCTTTATTGTTTATGCTGCTATTTTTGTTTAAAATATATTCATCCATGAGGTTTTGAAAATTTATGTTTATATCATAATCTGTGCTGAGATACGTTGGTATTTGTAGTGCCGTAAATAATATTTTTCATAATAAAATTAAACTCAAACCTGCACTGTGGCTCTTGGAAGATTTTGACTCTGACAAAATGGCTACTGTGCAGCTATAGCCATCCAAATCCATGTGATTACAAATAGGGAGTTACTGTGACCAACGTTTATTTTCTGAGAATGTTTTTTAACTTTGTTATTCTTAAGGAATGCAGGACATTAGCTTTCCATTCTTTTTTATTATTATTTTTAAAATAATGTAGAGCAGGGACATTAGCGGTCTCAAAGAACCTATCAAGAGGCATGTTGCCCCAGAGTGTCATTTTAGAGACCAAGGCCAGGGCTTAGTAAGTTGTGTGAATTTAAGTCTAGAAATGTTATGTAGACGTATCTTGAATGCCATCTTCATTTTTACCTTTTTTTTTTACCCTTCCCATTTCTTTCTTGTTTTTAGAAAGTATCTGCAAATATGTACAAAGTGAAAAGCTCTTGGTAGGTAGCTCAGAAGCTTGAAAAGTTTTATAAATCTTCAATTTACAAATTTTATTTATTTGTAATAAACCTTCTAATCTAATAAAGCTTTTACCCTACATGATTTTTTTTCCTGCTTTATCACCAACACTGCTGCTTTTGTTTGTTATCTTTCAAATTGTTTGTTGAACAATCATCACTCAAACTGTTTATTAGCAATATCTTACTCTGTCTTCTCTACTTTGAATTTTAATGAAGATCAGGAATACATTACTTCACTTGTACACTGTTACACCTTGGGGAGGACTTACAATGAAACAGATGTTTATATCAATTCAAAAACCGATATTTCAACATAAGAACATCTGTTGAGCACATGAAAACCCTTCTCAGAAATCCCATCTCTTCCAAAACCTTCATCACATTAGTGGTGATATTTTATTATAATGCATGCACACATTTAATTATTTACACTTACATTCAGACAGAATACAGATTAAGGACATTACCATCTTTTGAACAAATTAAAAAAACATTATTTGTGTTTATGGGTTCACATTCATCTGAAACCGGATCATAATAGGACATGTCATTATGACATAAAGAGGAATTGTTCTAACTTCCACAATAACAATTTCTTGTACAAATGCAATTATCATGCTCCTTTATGCATCTATATAAGGTCAGGAGCAATTCTTCTGTGCTTAGCTGGATATTGAGTAAGCACAATACTTAATTGTTTCAATTTGGCTACTGAACACTATAGAAAGAGCATGTCACCAAAATATACCATCTATATCAGCAGGTTTACCATGTTGTTCAAATTTATCATAGCATTTATCCCTTCCTCTTCCTCAATTGTTTTCTTGGACCCTAGCAATTTATAGTACTTCAAGCCTACTTCTGTGACATTTCATTCCCACACAACTCTCTAAAATATTCTTTCCAGTATTCTCACATCATTTCATCATTTTATTTTTAATTCAATTCACCCAACTGGAAGCTCCTTGTTTTCCCCCTTTTTAATCACTTCCAAAACTATTTTTACTTCCATCAACATTTTTCTGTATTTTCTCTGCCTCTTTTAATCTTAACCATTCCCCATTCACCTTCACTACATTCTTTGCAACTATACATTATCATTCTGTCATCTGTAGCTTTTTCAGAAATTATTTCTTACATTCATCTTTTTCTCTTGTTCAAAGCCACTTTCACTTCATTAAGCATTTTTTTCATTAGTACAGATGCACTTACTTCTTTCACTATTTAAAATAATATTTTGCACTTTGTTCCAACCGGTTTCCACATTCCCATTTCTCAAGCCCATTTTCTATTCATTTTTTTGAGACAGTAATATGGCACAAGTTTCACTCTAGTTTGTTTTTACTTCTTTCTTTTCTTTCCATGGTCTAAAATCTTTGATTCTACCATAGAAATGGATTGTCTCACATACAGAAGCTCTGATCACCTTACATCCTTCACTAGTTTTCTCATCCTTTTATTATAAATTAGCAAGTCAACCATGCTTCGAACATGTACTTATTCTTATAGTATTTGTATACACAGGCTTAATTTTAAGCCATGTATTCAAAAGACTCAAATATCTTTCTAAAGATAATTTCATGAAACAGTCTTATTATTTATTCTGAGTAGCAGCATTCTCAAAGGAGTAAGAGGAGGAGTAAGAGAAAGGACAAAAAGCTAAAATATATCTGTGGTACCTGATACTGATACTTTTGAATAACCCAAGTATTTTCCTTATATTTTTTCTTCTCATTTTCAACCATCTATTAAACTAGCAGAATATGGAGCCCTGATACAGCATTAAGTCAGTGTTTGACTGTTAGTGACTAAAATCTGTTTGAAATCTGTCCCTTCAGCTCTCCCAATAGTGCTATTATCCATCAATTTCTCTGCTGATGAGGATATTCAAGAAGGACAGTGTATCATTTTCTTTTTCCCTTATGAATTTCATTTCTTTAAAACATCCTATGCAGGAGAGGCAGGCAGAAGACTAGCAGAGTGCATCCATGAACATCAATTAGCAGTTAGAAGACATGATAACTTCTTAATCTCACAACACATGGACAGACTTAACTAAGGTTTTAACTGGGAAACTCTGAGTCTCTTTTTTTATTAGATCTTAACTGATCTCATCTGATCTGATGGCCACTATATCATTCCCTCAATTTCCTTGAATAGTTTGATTACAAATTTACATACTGTAGATTAAACCCATTCATACCTTCTAACTTACTTTTTAGCATTTTCATTCATAAACAAGCTTAGTCAATATCCTCTTTGTATTCATCAACCCCACTCCATAAAATCCAGGGACCTTTATCCCGGTTATTCCACTGCCCGGCACTACTTTGGTCAATTGAGGAGTTCACATATCCTTAGCAATATAAAGAAAGTGCAGACTAAGCAAATCTTAATTTTCAATTGAACCCATTCCATATGCAACATTCCCTGGTAACAATATGGACGGTACTGTACTCCTTTGATGGCTATTTTACAGCAGCAATAAAGTTCAGTTTTACCAAAGCATGCTCACACACAGATTATGAAACCTGGATTTAAGAGGATGCCTTGCTATTCAACATCTCACTAACTAGGGATTACATGCAATTACGATCACACACTCAGAATGAATTATTAAAAATTGTATTTTCTTAAACGCCATCCATAAATATATCTTCATCCCATCCTTCCGCTTCAATCTTTTCTTAGAAGCACAACAGTCAATTTTAATTAATTTAAAACTGGCAGGGACTGTCCTCTATACTGATGTCTGCACAAAAACTCTTTTGGGTGCTGTATGCCACATCCACACCATAGTTCATGCATCCATTATGTAGCCCAATACTGTCAACTTGGATAAACAACAACTTTCCTTTGGGAAAATGTTTCCCATTGCCTGCCAAGTGACCTTGTGATGAACAATGACAAGGAGTAGATGGGAAAGAGTGATGTGCTTCTCCATTTTTTAACCACTTTCAATGAGGATGATGCAAAATTGATGCCTTTTCTTCTTTTCTGTATTTCTTTTTTTTTTAAACAAAAACAAAGAAAAAGAGCATTAAAGTTAAATTTTCAACAGTGGGTGTCATATTCTTGAGCTACCAACTTATGAGTGGGATAAAGAATATGGGAGAAAGTTCTGTTTCTTTCAGTAACATAGTTTCTCCAGGGATCTACCCAATGGCCCTGATTTTCCGTGATGTTTTTAAATCCCAAAAATTCAAGAGTGTTTTTCAGATCAGAAACATGGCCAGTCAGGAAGATTTCAGCATGATGGAAAGGTGTATAAAAGAGAAAAAAAAACACTCTCTGCTACATAGAAACAATAAAGGAAATTCAAAAGCACGCCCCCCAAAATTCAAAAACAACTTAAAACTGCTCTCAGTTTATCTTTTTTTTTTCAATAATAGAAAGCTTTCTGGAAATTTGGAAACATATTCTAAAACAGTATTTCTTCTTACTTTTTATATATATAAGACAATACAAGTGCTGGTTGGAATATGAAATTGAATATGTTTGAATGATAAAGTCCATATTTATTACCCTTTGGCTACATGATGCATGTAACCAAGCTAAAGAATTAATTCCAGGGTATTTTAGTCATACTGTGAGTGGTACAACAGCTGTGGTGGCGTAGTGGTTCGAGTGCAGTACTGCAGGCTACTTCTGCTGACTGCTGGCTGCCCGCCATTTGGCAGTTCAAATCTCATGAGGCTCAAGGTTGACTCAGCTTTCCATCCTTCCGAGGTGGGTAAAATGAGGACCCAAATTGTTGGGAGCAATAGGTTGACTCTCTGTAAACCGCTTGGAGAGAGCTGTAAAGCACTGTAAAGCGGTATACAAGTCTTAAGTGCTATTGCTATTGCTATTTAAGATGATGAAAAATCAAATGAGATATGAAGAGCTCCACAGGATTCTTATCAAGTTTGGTGACTGCTCTACTAAATGGCAAATGTAATTCAAGGTCAGCAAGTGTAAAGTGATGTGCATTTGAAGTAAAAATCCATGTTTCACTTATAACGTGATCGAGATTGAACTGCCAGTGACCAGACAAGAAAAAGATCCTGGGGCATTTTAAGTAATTCAATTAAATCATCTATACAATGTGCATCTAGGGATTATTTAAACAGGGATAAAAAGATTGGCTGATATTATTAAGCTATGGTCCAACCACATCTAGAATGTTGTGTCCAATCCTGGTTTTTATCTTTCAAGAGGGATATTGTTGAGCTGGAGAAGATGCAAGAAAGGGCAACCAAGATAACCAGAAAGTAAACACAATAATATAATATGACAAGTCTGATTTTGTTGAACATTCTTTTTATAGTTCAGTGAATTGGAAAGGTGTTTATTTGGCCACCTTCTGAACATTTTAATCTGGACATTTTGCACTTAAAAATTTGCATTGGCCATTGTTTCCTTGACAATAGAGTTTGCCTCTCTCAAGGACATCTTCCTTACTCTTTCATCTTCCAATAAAACTGATCAGAAGACAACTTAAAATTGATTAAGATGTCACAGTTCTTCATACAGTATCTAATATGCTGACACTAGATGTGATGCTGGCTGCTACTTAAGGTGGCTGGCTTCAAAATATGATTAGACAAATTCCCAAATGGCAAGTATATTTATTTTATTTTTATTTATTTGATTGGTCAATCGCTTACAAGATAATAGGTATAAGTATAAACATGAATAAGAATACAGGAAATAGGTACGAATAAATGGCAGGGACAGTAGGCATAATGGTGCACTTATGCGCACCCCTTACAGACCTCTTAGGATTGGGGTGAGGTCAATAGTGGATAGTTTGAGGTTAAAGGAGTGGGGGTTAAGAGGATGTAACAACAGAGTCAGGTAGTGCATTCCAGGCATTGACCACTCTGTTCCTGAAGTCGTACTTTCTGCAATCAAGTTTGAAGTATTTTACACTGAGTTTGTTGTGTGATTTTGTATTGTTGTGGTTGAAGCTGAAGTAGTCATGTCCTGGTAGGACATTGTAGCAGATAATTTTGTGTGCTACACTTAAGTACAACCGTAGTTGGCATAATTCAAGGTTGTCCAAGCCCAAAATCTCAAGCCTGGTGATATAGGGTATTCTGTTGCAAGCAGAGGAGCATAGTACTCTTCTCATGAAATACTTTTGGACTCATTCAATTGTATTAATGTCTGATATACAGTGTGGATTCCAGACTGATGAGCTGTATTCGAGTATTGGTCTAGCAAAAGTTTTGTATGCTCTAGTTAGCAATTCAGTATTTCCAGAGGAGAAGCTACGTAACATTAGATTTACAACTCTTAATGCCTTTTTGGCAATGCTGTTACAGTGAGCTCTGGTGCTTAGGTCATTTGATATGAGACCTCCAAGGTCCTTGACAGAGTGAGGATCATCAATGAGGTCATATCTGCCTAGTTTGTATTTGGTGTACTGATTTTTTTTTTACCAATGTGTAGGACAGAGCATTTGTTGGTCGAGATTTGGAGTTGCCAATTGTTTGACCATTCAGACACATAATCAAGGTCACTTTGAAGGACAGTAGCATTGTCAGTGGTGTTCATCCACAAAGAGGATGCAATTGTTTAAAAGGTGATCGCAAAGGTCATTTATATAGAGTATAAGAGTGTGGGTCCTAGAATGCTGCCTTGGAGGACACCACTGTTAACTGGAGCAAGATTTGATATAGTGCTCCCTATTTTTACTATTTGTTGCCTGTTTGACAGGAACACAGTAATCCACTTATGAAGGGATCCGGAAATGCCGTAAGAGTTTAGTTTTAACAGTAGCTTGTCATGTACCACTGAATCAAAGGCTTTGCAGAAGTCTATGTAAATTGTGTCTATAGCTTTACCCCTGGTCAAGTAGAGTAGTCCATATGTTTTTGTAGTGTAGGAGTTGAAGATTGCAGGACAATTTTTCCTGAAACCAAATTGTTTTTTGGAGAGTAGGTTGTTTGACTCTAAGTGGAGGGTGATGAATTGGTTAATGATAGATTCCTTGACTTTGCACATGACACAACACAGTGAGATTGGTCTATAGTTTTCAACCAGACTGGGGTCACCTTTTTTGAAGATAGGGATGAGGACCATAGGTTTGGTAAGGAGATGGTTCTGAATGATATCTCATATATAATGCTTAGGGGTTCCGCTATGGCAGAGGAGAGCTTTTTTTAAGGAATATGCACATAATCCATCAGGGCCAATAGATAGGAATGGTTTTACGTTACGTAGTGCCTTTTCTATGTTATCTTCTGTAAAGTCAATACGTAGTAGGTCGTTACAGTTAGTTGTGGTACGACTAGGAAATGTGGGGCACGAGCCATTGCTGTTTACAGACTGAACTGAAGAATGTGTTGAAGAGATTGGCCTTATTGGCTTCATCGTTGCAGTCTTTCCCATTTGGTCCTTTTAGGGGTGGGATGGTTCTCGAGTCTTTAAGTTTGGTGCTTACCTTGTAGAAGGTGGAGGTGGATTTTGTATGTAGGAGGTTTTCCTGTTGCTTGCAGTGGTAATTTATGCATTCTGCCTTTATCTGTTGGCATAAGGTGTGGTATTGCTTTTTAAAATATCAATGGCTACTAGTCTTGATGGCTGCTCCTGCCTCCAGGCATAGGGAAATCCATCTCTTCATACAAGGCAGCAACAATCAAAGATAACTTTGATCTCTGGTTTGTGGGCTTTCCTAGCTGTATTTGGTGAGATGGAATGGCTGGCCTTAGGTCTGATCCAGGAAAACTATTCCCATAAATATAGATTCAATCTTGGTGCAATCTGTAATTCTAATATCTAATAACTATCTGAGGAAAAGTTAAATAGTAAAATACAGCCTCTATCAGGAACATTAGAAAAGTGTAGCAATTTTTAATATGGTCAGCACGTATTTTTAAAGTATAGAAAATTAAGTCATTATATTTTCTTGATTCTGTATGCAACATTCAGCTTTCACTATCTCAGATTAAAAAACTGTATATCTGATGCAGTCCTTCTTGTCTCTAAATCAGAAACTTTGATATAAGGATAAAAATAAGGATTTTGCCAATGGCTAGTGAAAAGTGCAGTGTTCCAGGACCTGTAATTTTTTTTTACAACATTGCTCCATTCTCTAAACGTAGAAATGTTTAGAGACTGAAAAAGAGCTTATAATGGGAATTTTATCTTAAGTCACAGATGGTCCACAATCACAATATGCTCTCTTTTCATCATGACAGGCTGTGGGTATGGCACTGTAGAAATCAGCACCTACTCATTCTTCCCATCTTTCTAGAAGGTAATGAGGTCTTTTGTGCTGGCCCAAAGAAACTGTAATAAATCTTTATTTCCACTTTTCACTATACTGAGAAATGTAAGTCATTCAATGGCATTAAATGAAGATCTTAATAAGTAACATTATAGGGACAAGCTATGATATATTTTTTCTCATTCTAAACATGTGTTTTCTCACAGTTTATAAGCACGTAACCTCTAGGTTTCTCTACACAGTACAGGTAGTCCTCAACTTATAATAGTTCATTTAAGTAATCATTCGAAGTTACAATGGAACTGAAAAAGTGACATGACCATTTTTCACACTTATGACCTTTGTAATATCCCCATTATCTTGTGATCAAAATTCAGGTGCTTGGCAACTGGTTCGTACTTATGCCCATTGCTGTGTCCCAAGGTCACATGATCACCTTTTGCAAACTTTTGAAAAGTGAAGTCAATGGGGAAAAGAGATTCACTTAACAACTGTGTTACTAACTTACCAACTGCAGTGATTCACCGCAATTTAAGAAAGGCGGTAAATTGGGGCAAAATCACTTAACAAATGTCTCACTTAACAACAAAAAGTTTGGGCTCAATTGTGGTCGTAAGTCAAGGATTACCTGTAGTACATCTCCTGTCAACTCCAGTTGGAAATAATCAGTAGTCATTCAAGAAGTTTCTTCAGCTTCAGAGCTGAAGAAGCTTTTTGGATGAAAAGTGGAACATCTTCAAAGAAAAATTAGAAAGGCCAGTTGCCTCTTGAAAAAAAAGCACCTTTGGGACAACCATGACCTGGATGGCTGAGAATCTCCATAGACAGTCAGAACTACAGTACTGCAACTGAAGGACCAAAGGTTCCCCACTCCTGTTCTATGAGGTAACCTCAAAGCTGACTGCTGGATTGAGAAAACTCTGATAAACTGTTGTCTCAGGAGCCATCCTCCCTCTTCTTTTACTGCTCATGATTACAGTGTTGAGTATAGTCTTTCTTACATTTCTCATCATGCAGTCAGAGAGCACAGGAAGGAATTAAGAAGCTGTTCACTCCAGCTGCTTGCCATTACAAGGAATGCTGAGATGGAGGAGGGGAGAAACACCAAGGGACTTGCAGGCATCAGCATAGTAATGTGAATTTACTCTGGGGTAATCAAAAAGTTGGCAAATATAATGTGATGTCAGATGTTGGCACTAGTCCTGCCAAATGGGACCTAATTTGATATACAAATTTTCATCTGGGTGATATGTTTATTTTACCCTGGTCTATGGATCTCACTTCTTGGATTAATAGGCAGAAGGACCTGAAAGTAATAGCAATCACATACCTTTTGATAATGTTTTTCATTTTCTTACTTAAAACAGTCTATCACTTCCAGATATGTTAGATTACAGCATCTAGAAGGAACTTGGCTTACGCTCACTAGAAAGTCAGGGATATAAAAAGTAATATATGGACAGTTTGATTATTTGTGTCAGAAGCATCATAATTAAAACTAGGCATACTATATGACATAAATCTTAAAATATAAAATACAAGATTAAAGTATGTACAAATTAAACAGATCTTGCCCAGAAATTGCCTACATACCTATACAGTATCACATTGGAGAAGATTATACAAAAATGAAAAATATTCCATTTCAAATTGGGATTCTGAATTTAAATTTCATTTTATGTAAAGAATTATTTTATCATTAATAAATGCATTACTGTTATTATTGTAAATTATACTGTTTTTATTTAATTGTCTCTTTTCACAAAAGTATTTTGAAAATGGTAATTAGGTTCTCCTAGTGAAAAAAACGCAATGGCTGATGCCCTTGGAAACAACACAAATATTTTGTGCTGTATTGGGCTTCTGCAAAGGAGACAGCCAAGTCATCAGTTGATTTCATTGCCTTTTCCTAAAATGTCATTGCCTTTCTGCCAAGGACCTGCGAGACATAAAACACCCATTTTGCTCCTTAATTCTTCCTGAATACATTTTTCTCTTCCTACCTGGCAAGTCTGTACAAGCCCCAATGGCATTTTTAGCACCCCTGATTTATGGATTTCCTTACCATCATTCTCTCTAGACTGTAGCTATGCCAAACTTGGCAACTTCCTGTTGCTACTATCCAACTGTGAACTCCCAGGACTTCAGCATTTAAAATACTGTCAATTAAAGGGAACACATTTTGGCATCTAACCTCTTTTTCTTTTGCATGAAGGAATTTTTTTTCCCCTCATAAAGACTGAATCTCCATGCATCCTGTTTTTCTCTCTTCTGTTATTTTAATGGCCTTGTGCAAGTCATAGAGTCATTTGTCAGCTCCTGTGACAACTCCTTTGAAGTATCACAAGCCATCTGGTGAATGCGTTTTTTTCTTTCTGCCTGTCCAGGGAGAAAATGTCAGATGAAGCCATAGAAAAAGGGAAGCAAGAGGAGAGACCTAGTTACTAAGCTCCAGGAATGAAACTGTATTGAAATCCAATTAATTACCTGTTGTGGTAAAAGCAAGACGCAGCTGCAGTGGGAACAAAGGTATGGAGCACAAAAGAGGCAAGGGGGGAATAAAGCAAAGAAAGAAGAAACAATGCCCAACTATTCTCCCCATCCATGCCCAAATATTAGAAGAAAACTCTTCTGACTTCATTTTAGGGTTTGTGAGGAAAACAGTATACAAGGGGAAATGTTATTTTGGTTCCCATTTTAATATCTAATTCTAGACATTTGAAACGAAATGCCTATAAGGAAGCACAGTTACTCTTTAAAACTCATACTTCTCCAAATCTTGAAATGTAGATTTTTACCATAAAAAGGAAAGAATGCAAACTATGTATTTTGCACAAAGCATCTTTTTGGAAAAATAAATTTCTTCAACAAAATAGTAAAAATATATATTTTAGGAGAAAGGGCAACAGAAACACAAAGATTTCCCAAACATTTTTGATGCAGAACCAGGAAATACTGAATTCAACGTATTCCCTTATATATTTGCCCTAAGGCATGATCAAAAGTCACACTCTGTTTTGCATGAAACATAAATTATGGACAACCCTCAGTACATATGCTAAGTAATTCACATGTTTTTGTTTTCCTTCTTGCCTCCACAGATCCAAATTCCACAGACAACCACCAAATTCTGATTAAATTTTGTAGTATTTTTTTCACAGGAAAACAAAGCATGTGCTTTGGGTGTTGGTTTTTTGTTGATGTTTTTTGTTTTAATGAAAAAGCAATAACTTGCTGCATTTATTCAGATCAGCTTGGACTCAACTCTCACCTGGCTAAAAATGAACCTGACATATTGCAAGTAACATTATTCCTCAGAATATGAATAGTTTCAACTTTTGATAAATACCATTTTCCTCACATCTCCTTCTCTCTAAATAAGCTATTCACATAACATTCAATATTGTTCCATTAGTCTGCTCACTTTCTTGACTTCAGTTGGCTTTATATAACATATCATGGAAGCTATTTTCTTTTTTTTTATCACATCTTCAATGGCTACTGATTGTTCTAAGCTTTCTGCTGATAATGCTTTAGATATCTGTGTTCTTATGGTGGGGGGGGGGGGAATTAAGTTACACTGAAGAACCTGTTCTAATTCTGTTTTGACTCAACAGGATCATGGTGAACTTGGCAATATTATCTTGCCTTGAAGTCTCCAGACTTTTGGAATTTTTACACTAAAACTTTAATCTTATAAGTGTTGCCAAAGAGACCCAGCTCTGCCAATGTGGTGAGAATTGCATATATATCATTTCTGAGTGTTTTTCTCAACACCCCCAGAGTTTTTACATTTCCATGACTGAGAATGAAAGATATTGACCATGGTCCCTCAAACAAAAGCTCTGTTGGAAACCTTCCACATTGCAAAAGAGATAGTTTTAAGAAGGCAAAAATCTTATTTAGCATCCCTCACATTTTGCAGGAAACTCTTGACAATTGTTGTATATTGCTTCTGTAAGTTGATTTGATTGTATTTGGAGCCTGTTGTCAAGTGTTCAAATCCATATTTAAATTTAATGCCTCTAAATTGTGATCCATAATTTGTTATGCCATATCTAGATAAAACAATTTTGATTGAGTTACTTATAAATAATGTGAAAAGTAATTCTTTATCATAATCTGGTTTTTATAACACCGTGAAATAAGTCAATGACTACTTTTTTCCCAAGAGACCAGGGGAAAATCCTCACTCTGAAGGGTTTCACTAGCAGGCTGGGATGACTTTTCTGGAAAACCTTTTTTTCTCTCTTCAAGATAAGCTCAAACCAAAGCGCTCTGAAGATGATTCCTTGAATGGGGACGAAATTTTTGCAACCAAATCACCAAGCTCAGAGCTCAAACCAACAGCATATATGATAAAGCGAAATGTATAGAAGTCCAATACCAGATACATTTTTGAAAATGCCCTCCAATTTTGGACGTGGACTACCAGGCTGGGAATGAATTTTGGGCCATAATTTACCATTTTCATAATCTTCTGAATCTCTTTCTGGCCTATTACAATTGCCTCCAGTTTAGCCTGCTCTGTTTTAATGCTACATTTCATCAGCATTTCCTGAACTTTAAAACAATGTTTGCTTTTGTTCAGTTTAATATTTGAAGATCTGGCTTTTCTTTTAATTGGTAAGTATGTTCTTCTTCTATGGTACCACATACAAATATCTCATGCATATATATTATGATTCCTGAAATGTTGTATCAGTTGTCAAGTGTCAGGAACATAACAAATATGTGATTAAAGTTGTACTGATTGTATGGTGTATTAAAATATACGTAGTTGAGTCCAGTGGTGGGATTCAATTTTTTTTACTACTGATTCTGTGGACATGGCTTGGTGGGCGTGACAGGGGAAGGATACTGTAAAATCTCCAATCAGAGGTGGAATTTGCCGGTTTTCTGAACTATTCAAAATTTCCACTACCGGTTCTCCAGAACTAGTCAGAACCTGCTGAATACCACCTCTGGTTGAGTCTTTCTTCATTGATGTGCCAACTTGGAAAATACCTTTGTGCCTGCAAATTCTGCTAAGAATTCCATTTCTATTATTAAGGTAATGTTCTCTATGAATAATCAGGGTCCAGGCAAATTGTTAGACTTCCATCTCTTTTCTGAATTCTAAACATTCAGAAAAGAAATCCATTCAGATGGATTTCCAGTAAAGCAAATCTTTCTTATATTTCTTCCTTATATTCAGTGTCAACTTTCAGTTATTTTTAATCATGGCATCTTTCCAAAGTCTCATTGTGCCACATTGATTGAGCATAGGAGAGAACAGTCTTCTTCAGATTTAATGTCCTTTGGCATTGCTGTGTATATTTCTTTTTAAAAAATTAGTTTCGCTCATTTTACTCATGTAATTTCCACATTGTGCTATTTGTGCCTGATGCTGAAAATTGTTTATATAGTTGTTTGTACTATATTGACTGCATTGATCGCATTATAATTTGGCTTGTTTCACAGCTGTTTGACCAGCGTAGAAAGAAGCCTTTCCTTCCAATTCATCTTTATTGTGGGTGACTGTCGATATTGGAGTATTATCGGTGCTATGTCCCAAGCTTTCAACTGTTAGTGAGTTCTGCCATTTGCCATATCGCAATAGCATTTTGTAGCACATTCACCACTCTAAGTAATTATCCTTGCACCCTCCTGTTTCTTTCTTTCTTTTCTTTTCTTTTATTTGGTTTGTCAATTGCTTACAAGGTAATAGGTATAAGTAAAAACATAGTTATGAATACATGGATACATATAAGAAAAATAAAAGAAACAATAGGACAGGGACGGTAGGCACGTTGGTGCGCTTATGCATGCCTCCTGTAGACCTCTTAGGAAAGGGGTGAGGTCAATAGTAGGAAGTCTAAGGTTAAAGTTTTGGGGGTTTGGGGAAGAAACCACAGAGTCAGGTAGAGTATTCCAGACATTGACCAATCTGTTGCTGAAGTCGTATTTCCTGCAATCAAGTTTGGTGCGATTAATCTTGAGTTTGTATCTATTGTTTGCTCTTGTATTGTTATGGTTGAAGCTGAAGTATTCATTGACAGGTAGGACATTGCAATGTATAATTTTATGTACTATACTTAGATCAGACCGAAGGCGGCATAGTTCTAGGTTTTCTAGGTCTAGAATTTCACATCTGGTGGCATAAGGTATTCTGCAATGAGTAGAGGAGTGGAGAACTCTTCTTGTGAAATATTTCTGGACTTTCTCAACTGTGTTAATATCAGATATGTAATGTGGATTCCAGACTGATGAGCTGTATTCGAGTATTGGTCTAGCAAATGTTTTGTATGCTCTAGTTAGTAGTGTAATATTACCAGAGAAAAAGCTATATAAGATTAGGTTAACAACTCTTAATGCCTTTTTGGCTATGTAGTTACAATGGGCTCTAGCACTTAGATCATTAGAGATGAGTACTCCAAGATCCATGACAGAGTTTGGATCATCAACAAGGTCTTGACTATTCAGCTTGTATTTTATTTTCTGATTTTTTTTGCCAATATGTAAGACAGAGCATTTATTTGTTGAGATTTGAACTTGCCATTTGTTTGACCATTCTGATACATAGTCGAGGTCTTTTTTAAGGGTAGCAGTATTGTCTGTGGTGTTGAATAGCTTTACATCATCAGCGAAGAGAACGCAGTTGCTCTTAATATGATCACAGAGGTCATTTATGTAGAGTATGAAGAGAGTTGGTCCTAGAACACTGCTTGGGGGACACCACTGTTGACAGGTACAGAATTTGATAGGACGCTCCCAATTTTGACCATTTGTTGTCTGTTTGACAGGAATGCTTCTATCCAGTTATGCAGGTGTCCAGAAATACCATAAGATTTTAGTTTTAGGAGTAGTCTGTCATGTACCACTGAATCAAAGGCTTTACAGGAGTCTATGTAGATTGAGTCTATTGCTTTGCCCTGGTCGAGTTGTGTAGTTCATATGTTTTTGCAGTGTAAGAGTTACAGATTGCAGGATAGTTTTTTTCTGAAACCAAATAGTTTATTAGAGAGTAGGTTGTTTGTCTCTAAGTGCAGGATAATGGATTGGTTAATAATTGATTCCATGACTTTACAGGTGACGCAGCATAAAGAGATTTTCAACTAGGCTGGGTTCTCCCTTTTTGAAGATGGGGATGTTTGTGGCTTGTGACCACAGTTTTGGCAAGGAGCTGGTCCTGAAAGATTTTTCAAAGATTATGCTTAGAGGTTTGGCTATGGCAGTGAATAGCTTTTTTAAGAAGTAGGCACATATTCCATCCGGTCCAATAGGTAGAGATCATTTTTGATTACGTAGTGCTTTTTCAACATTGTCTTCTGTAAAATCAATATGTATTAGTTCATTGTAGTTGTCTGTGGTTTGACTAGGAAATACTAGGCATGATCCATTGCTGTTTACAAATACTGAGACAAAGAATGTGTTAAAGGTGTTGGTTTAATGTGATAATTGGTGCATTCAGTCTTTATCTGGTGGCATAAATTTTTGTATTGGCTTTTGAAATTGGCAGGGTGACCAGATTTGTTTTTCCGCCAAAGTGATCTCGTTTTGGATTGAAACTTCCTTATTGTTATGGGTATTCTGTTTTTTCTGGTTTTTGAGATTGTGATTGGTACATATAGTTTGATGACTCTTTTGATTTCAAGTAAAAATATATTGTAATGGTCTTCAACAATATTGCATCCAGTGAATAGAAATTGCCAATCAAGGGATGAGAGATCGTTGTCTATAAGACATCAATTTTACATCAAAGATTCATTCAACACTCCAAGATCATAAGACCTTAATCACAAGTTTTAGATCTGTTACAAATTCTTCAATTAGTTATTTTTGTGACTGAAGATAGATATTTCCTACAGTATATTTTTTTTGTGATACAGTAAGTCACAACGTTTTGTAAGACTTTAAATGATTTCTTCATTCATGAATGTAAATGTACTATATACACTAAGAATGCTTACTCCAACCCAGCAGAAAGCATACTGTATTTTCTATTCATCCTTCATGGCAGCCACTTGGAAGTATAATAGAATTTTTTGTTAAATGGCCCTCCACATTGCCAGCAAGCTTGTGATGGTTTTAGAGCATCCATTAGAAAAAATGAGGCTGTTACTTCCTATTGTATCTGGTTACTTAGTGTTAGGTAATATATGCATCACTTGAGAACTACACTGTCAAACGGTAAGCCTACCTCTAAAATTTCATTTCAGGATTTACTGAAAATACATTTTTTTCATACAATTTGGTATCGTGAATTTTGAAATGGATCCAGTTCAAACATTACATCTATTAAATGTCAAGTAACAAGATGAAGATAAATCAAATGACTGGACTAACCTACTTTATGTTTATTATTCAGCTCTCAAGGCTATTCTATTCCATACTATGAATAAAAACCAACCTTCTGCAATCTTCAAGACAGAATGGCTCTTCTAAGCTTGAGTACAAACACAGAAAAAGATCCTGTGTAATGTCCAGCTTTCTGTCAACCATGCCTGAAACAATTCACACATATCTTTCTCCAATAAGTATTTCACTTGTACTGGTGTACATTGCTGATCTATATGTTTGCCAGAAGTCACATTCAAAAAGAAAAGAAAAAGAACAGACTAAGGAAAAAAATACTAAAAGAATAACTACTGCTTAAAACAAGACCTCAGAAATAAGATCACAACCATAAAATTAATGTGTTCACATTTATATATTTGTTTTCATATACACAAACAGTTTTTCACACAATACAAACACCACTAAGTTATTCCCCTTTCTCTTTTCAGGAGCAAAAGAGGATTGGGAGAAAAAAAAAACAGAATGGCGATGGAGAGAGTAAAAGGGCCAGCTATTTAGGAAGAGAAAACAAAACAAGATAATATCAGGAAAAGAGGTGATAAATAGACAGGAAAGGAGAGGAAAAGAGTTTTCCACTTAGGCATTGCAAAAAAAGGGGCTCAAAATTTACCAAGGAAATTTCTGTGAGAGGGAGACCAGATCAGACGATTAGCAAAATGTGTAGATTTATTTAAAACTGTTTTAAATAAAGTACTATTTAATATGGTACAGGAACCCCCAATACAAAGCTTAAAAAAACAAGTAAAGAACAGTACAAGTAAAGAAAGTACCATGTAAGGGCTGAGAAAGAAAAGCAACATTAAACCTCTGGATCTGTTGTAAATAAGAGGATTGGTTCCTTGATTCTGCAATACCCAACCTTCTTCATTATTAGGACATCTTGTGTCTACAATAAAAACAGCTTAACTGCTTTTCTTTTCTACCACCACCTGCATATGGGTGGAATTCCTAGAGAGAGAGAAATTAACTGAAGAGCTCTGGGTGAAACTCTTAACACCTCTCAAGCACAACAATTAATCTTCAGGGCAATCTTCAAAGGCATTCAATATTTTCAGCAAGAATACTTGCAGACATATGCATTACCTGACCATTCCTTTATTTCCAACAGTTTTTCCTACTTTTATCAGCAACTGCAAGGAGAAAAATCTCTCCGTGTTTGGTACCGGTAATTCTTTGCGTGGCAGAAAAACCATCTTTTTCTTATCAGATAAATGCGTGCATTTGGTAAGAAAGAGTGATGCTGGAGTAGATGCTCATCTACATGAAAATAAAAAGAATAGGCTATGCTTTGCAAGCTAAATACAGGAATAATAATTGTCAACCTCAGGAGGCAAACCGGACAGGAGGACATGGTCAGATTAGCTAATTCTACTTCACTGTTGTGGGAAACACCCCCCACCCCCGAAGAATGAAATATTTTGGGGAATATTAAGAGGCAGAATATCATATTTCTCCAAAGGAGAAATGGAGAAACATGCTCCAGCCCCAATTTCCTGAATAGTAAAACAACTTCCAGTAGAAATCTTTAAAGATGGAGATTTGGTGCCTATTAAGAAATCCCAGCCAATCATAAAAAAAAATCTTCCGCTCCAGGGTGATAGGATTAAGGAGGACAGGACAGGACCTTTTAGAACATAATAGGATTAACCCACCACCATTTAGCAAAAGACATAAGCCCCTTCATTGCACAATCCCCAGAACAGTTCAAACTTCAAAGTCACAGAAACCTATAAAGATCCATTCAACCATTTGGTCAGCTTTCCCAGAACTGCATGTTGTGGTTCTGTTCATCAATAAACTTTCCTTCCAATCAGCCTCCATTTTATTTCCAGTGCCTTTCTCCCAGCTTGGAACTGGACAAGATTGATTTTTTTATTCCAACACTGTAAGGTTACAGTAACAGAATTTTGCAAGTTTGAAAGCACTTGTCTCCCCTTCCCCCATTTCCTTTATGCCCCAAAACTACAACTAGTCCTCGATTTACAACCATGTGTTTAGCAATCAAAGTTACAGCAGCACTGAAAAAAGTGAATCATGATCTATCCTCGCATTTACATTTGTTGCAGTATCCCCACTGTTCCATGACCAAAATTCAGGTATTTGGCAATTGACATAGATTTATAATGGCTGCATCATCCCAGGGTCACATGAATTGGAATTGGAATTAGATTTAGAATTCTTTATTGGCCAAGTACACACAAGGAATATGTCTGGTGCATAAGCTCTCAGTGTACATATAACAATAATGATCACCATTTGTGACCTTCCCAGCCAGCTTCTGACAAAAAGTCAATGGAGGAAGCTGGATTCGCTTAACAACTTTGTGGTTCACTTAACTGCAGTGATTCACTTAACCAAGGTAAAGAGCAAGGGTGTTATGCTACCAATTCTGCCCGGTTCTATAGAACTGGTAGCTCTGTAGAGCAGCAGACACTGAACTGGTTCTGTGTTTGCTGCTGTTTGACTCACCCGCCAGCCCAGGCTCTTACCTGTCCTTTATTTCCTGCTTTTTCAACCTCAGCTACTTTGCGCGGCACAGCTGAGGTTGAAAAAGCAGGAAAAAAGAGACCTTGCAAATGCTGCGTACCCGTGGGCAGCACTTTTCAGTTGTCCAGGCAACACAGCTGGTGATTTTTTTTTACATGCGCATGCAAAAGTTGTCACCGAACTGGTAGTAACACTGGTTGAATCCCACCCCTGGCAAAGAGGACTGTAAAATAGGGTGTGACTCACTTTGTTTAGCAATGGAAATCCTGGTCCCAATTGTGGTTGTAAGCTGAGACACACCTGTACGGAGGGCCTCTTCTGAGTCTCTTGACCCACCCAAATTCCTGTTGCAGGCTAAGCTACCTTTTAACTGACAGTTCACTTGGTTGTGTCTCATTGCCTCTCTCCCACATACCATTTCCATGGTACACTAAAATCTTATGAATTTTGTACTTTTGGCAATCTATTTGAAAGGCTGCTCTTATTCAAAGGAAAATTCCTCTAACATTCCCATGGTTGAAGTATAGAGTTCTTGCATTTATTTCAGCTATCAGGTAGCTAACTAATTTTATCTGAATGTGTCGTTGCTGCATATATCCCTCTCCTCTATCTCCTGGTTTTAAAACATTACTAGGGAATTTCTTTCCTGGGCTATCCAGCCCAGGGAGCTGGAGCCTATATCACTGGACAAATATACACCTTTTAAAAAAACACAGTATCCTCTGCAATCTCCAATAAAGTCTTTCAGAAAACTCACAAAAGTTGCAAGAAATGAGGGGAAGTGAACATTGGGTAAAACACAGAAAAAGGGGAAGGAAATATGTTAGAAATTGGAGGACTGCATTTAGCAACGTTGTTGTTTTTTGAAGTGTTCCCGACTATAAAAATCCGAAGAGTAAACGCTGTCCCATTTTGCTGGATTTTGTGGAGGACCAGTGAATTAGCCAAGTATTAAAGAATCAACAGGTGATTTGAAGGCAGATTTCTGAGAATAGGAAATAATTGAAGCATTTTTTCCATCCCATGCTGTTCATTGGGTGAAAATTTCATTCAACAAATCATTTGTAACAAAACACAAAGCAATAAAGTCACATTTCATTTTTTGCAAACTTGATAAAACTGGAAAAAAAGTTTTTTAAAAAATAAATCCCACATAAGAAAAAGCAGACTCCTCTACCTCCATGGGTCTCCATTGTCTACTACATGCCTTAAAAGTATTCTAGTTTACAACATCTGGTTTGGGCTGCCATTCCCATCTTCTCTTTCTCTGTTATAATACATTTTACTTTAAATATGAGGGGGAAATTTAGAAAAATTCACTGTGTCCTTGAATCTAATTGAGAGTTAGGGAGGAATAGAGACATTCTGACCTGTCCTCTGACTCACCCATTGCTTCTTTTCAGGCAAGGCCTAATTGAGAGGTGGCACAGCTCAAGCCTGCCTAGAAATTAGACTCTGTGCAAGGGCACGGAAGGGCAGTCTAATAGCAAGCTGAACTGAAAGAACAATGAGAATGAGAGAGAGAATAAACTGAGCTGGGAAATGAAGCCAGTACTCAGGAAATAAGATGATGCAGAATCAGCTCCTGCAAAACAATATGGGCAATAGGAGGAGAAATAGTCTCAGGTCACAAATGAACAGGACTTGGTCCATGAACCTACCTACCATGTGTGATGAGTTAATGGAAAATGCAGTAGCTTGGAACATTTCTCTGGCTATGAGTTTGGCCTCAGCATCTTTGGCTAGTCAATCTATTCACTCAGACCACAAAAGGTTTCTGTTTGAGCAACAGAATCTGCTTACTTTTGATCTATTTTATAAGCATCTTTGGTCCCTATTTTATAAACTAATTTCTGGCACTTGCCAATGTGATTTCTTACAATCTAGTTGGTTCAGTTCTGTAAAGGTAGACTCAGAACTCAAGAAGGAAAGCTGATAAACTCCTGCTGAAAGCATGATTAGAATTTCATGTGGAATTTATCAGCTCCTTTCACACTGAAAAGGGTGCATGCTGAGATATTGTAAATATCTTGAGGGAGGAAAAATCTCAGTCTTCCCCCCAAAAAATTTCCTCTAAACTTCTAAGAGCTATGCTAATGTCTAGGCTGCTTGTGCTACCCACCAATCTCAATCTTTTAGATATAATTGGTCTCCAGATTTTTTTAAACAGTCTTATCCTGTCTTTCTTGGCTATTTATTACAACAATCACCCCTTCCTTGAGTTTATATGCAGCTTGGAGTATTCTTTAAATTTTGATTTTAATTACAGGATAAATCACACTTGATAGGAATATTTGCCAGAATCCAATTTCTTCTTTGACTCATATCTGAGATATATAATTCATTTTAAAAATCATACTCTATTGCCTCCACTGCATAATGGGAATGCATAATGGAATAGGGGGCTCAGAAAGTGAATACCACTCAGTTCATCACATTCAGAATATAATTTAACTTACCTTGTTGCATGTATTTGTTCCTATTTCATTTTAGGATCTAGTCAAAAGTGCCTACAAACTGCAGTACCTTTCTTGAGTCCTATTTTGCAACCCCCAAATACTGTGCCATCGCCATATTACTTTAAATGCTTTTCTTTCAAACCTCTTGTTCATTACCAAACAACTTGTGGATGGGAAACCTATATACACTTTACTTGTTTTAAACTACAACTTCTTTTTTATAATAATTTTTGTTATTGTTTACAAAGGAAAAGATTAAAAAACTAGTACAAATTAAGAAATATACAGTATAAAAAGTGCAGAGAAAAAAATTAAGGAAAAAGAAATGCATCATCTAAAGAAATTACCTCTCTCTTCATCAAGACAAGGAACATACCCTTTCTCTGATACTGCA